TGGTATTAGTATACTGGGCGCAACAGGCCACGCTTCATTTTTACCTTTGTACCCGTCTGCTGCAAGCATTGGCGTGCTGGATGAAAGCTGCCGAACCACCTGAGTGTGTGACGTCACTGGCCATGTGCTTCACCGGTGCTTTTGGGCCAACTGAAGCTCACAAGGTGTCAGTTGACGACGTCACTGCTATACGACTGATTGTAAGACGTCAGTGGTCGTGGGTTTTCACGGGCCGTTTAGGACCGACGAAATGCCGTAAGGTATCAGCTGACGATATGACGTCACTGGTATTGGGCCGAACATCAGGCAACGGCCATGCTCCATCTGTACCTTTCGTACATGTCTACTGCAAGTATTGGCGGCTTTTTTGCGGCCAACTGGAAACCATAAAGCATCAGCTACCGATGTGACGTCACTGGCATTCGATTGTGCGTGATGTCACTGGTCACAAAGTTTTACGGCCTCTTTTGGGCCGACGAAGGGTCATACGGCATTACCTGACGACATGGCGTCACTGGTATTCGAATAAACTTCAGGCGCGACAGGCCATGTTCCACCTTTGCTTTTCGTACCTGTCCATTGCAAGCATTGCCGTGCTGAAGGAAGGCTCTGCCGAATTACCTGAGTGTGCAACGTCACTGACCATTAATTTGTATGCTCTTTTGAACCCACTGTAGGCCACAAAACACCAGCTGACGATATGTCACTAGGTTTCGACTAAGCATCAAGCGCAACAGGCCATGCTCTATCTTTACTTTTCGTACCTGTGTGCTGCAAGCATTGGAGTGCTTCGCCAAGACGATGCTGAATCATCTCGGTGTGTGACGTCACTGGTCATGAGTTTACACTGGTTCACTTGGGCCGCCCAAGACCACAAAGCATTATATCCCGTGGAGTATCACGGGAAGATATCACATCACCGGTATTTGGCTTAACATCAAGCGCAACAGGTCATGTTACACTTTTACCTTTGGTACCTGTCTTTTGGAAGTATTGGCGTGCTGAACGAAGGCTCTGTCGAATCTCCTGAGTGTGCAACGTCACTGGTCAAGAGGTTTTTACGGGACCTTTTGTACCCCCCATACGGTATAATGCATCAGTTAACGATATGACGTCACTGGCGTTCGACTTAACATCGGGCGCAACAGGTCATGCTCCATCTTTGCCCTTCTTACCTGTAAAAGTATTCGCGAGCTGAATGATGGCTCTGTCGAATCACCTGAGTGTACGACGTCTTGGGTTTTTACAGGTTATGTTTGGCTGAGTGAGAGCCATAAAGCATCAGCTAACGATATGTCGTCACTGGTAGTTCACGGAGTGTGTGACGTCACTGGCCATGGGTTTTTACGGGCCTTTTTGGACCGACTTTATGCCATTAGGCATCAGATAACAATATGACGTCAATGGTGTTCGACTTAACATCAGATGTTATAAGCCACGTTTCGTTTGTACATTTCGCACCTATCTACTGCAAGAATTCGCGCGACACATAGAGGCTCTGCCGAATTACCTGAGCGTGTGGTGAAACTAATTATGAGTTAACGCGGGCCTACTCGGGCTGAATTAAGGACACAAAACATCAGCTGACGATATGACATCACTGGTATTCCACTAAACCCCAGGCGCGACAGGCCATGTTCTATCTTTACCTTTCGTACCTGTGTATTGCCAGCATTGGCGTGCTGAAGTAGGCTCTGGAATCTCCTGGGTGTGTAACTTCACCGGTCATGAGTTTTTTTTCTGGCTCTTTGGAACACCCAATAGGGTATAAGACATCAGCTGACGATATGGCGTCACTGGCATTTGACTTAACCTCAGGCGCGACAGGCCATGTTCCATCTTCACCTTTCGTACTTGGTTACTGCAAGCATTCGCGTGCTATATGAAGGCTTTGCCGATTCACCTGAGTATGTGACGTCACTGATTATGAGTTAGTAGGTCACTTGGCCACCCTGGGCTACAAGGCATAATATCCCGGAAGCATCACCGGATAATATGACGTCACCGGCATGATACCAAATATGCGTCGCAACAGGCCATAATCTTTATCTTTCGTACCTGTCTACTGCAGCATTCGCGTGCTATATCAAGGCGATGCCGAATCATCTCAGTGTGTGATGTCACCGGTCATGAGTTTGTACGGATTCTCTTAGGCCGCCCAATGCCACAAAACATTATATCCCGTGAAGCATCACGGGATGATATGACGTCACTGGTATATAACTTCACATCAAGCGCAACAGGCCATGTTCCATCTTTACCTTTCGTACATGTCTATTACAAGCATTGGCGTGCTGAATGAAGGCTCGGTCGAGTCTCCTGAGTGTGTAACGTCACTGGTCAAGAGTTTTTACGGGCTCATTTCAAGCCCCTATACGGCATAATGCATCAGCTGACGATATGACGTCACTGGTGTTCGACTTAACATCAGGCGCAACAGGCCATGTTCTATCTTTACCTTTCGTACCTGTCTATTACAAGCATTGACGTGCTGAATGAAGGCTCTGCCGAGTCTCCTGAGTGTTGGTGAATACTCAGGTGAATCGGCAAAGCCTTCATATAGCACGTGAATGCTTGCAGTAGCCAGGTACGAAAAGTAAAGATGGAGCATGGCCTGTTGCGCATGAGGTTATGTCAAATACCAGTGACGTCATATCGTCAGCTGATGTCTTTAACCCTATGGGAGGTTCGAAACAGCCCGTAAAAACTCATGACCAGTGACGTTACACACCCAAGAGACTTCACATTGTCTTCCTTCAGCACGCCAATGCTTACCACATACAGGTACGAAAGGCAAAGACGAACATGGCCTGCCGCGCCTGATGTTTAGTTGAATACCAATGACGTCACATCGTCAGATGATGCTTGATGTCCTTCAATCAGCCCGAGTAACCCGTGTAAACTCATGACCAGTTGCATCACGCGCTCAGGTGATTGGCCAGAGCCTTTATGCGGCGCGCGAATACTTGCAATAGATAGGTGCGAAAGGTAAAGATGAAACATGACTTATTGCACCTGATGCTTAATTGAATACCAGTGACGTCATATCGCTATCTGATGCCTATTGACCTTAGGTCGGCCCAAAAAGGCCCGTAAAAATTCATGACCAGTGACGTCACACATTCAGTGGATTACCAGTGACGACATACCGTTAGCTGGTGCTTTTTGGCTTTCTCTTAGCCAAAAATGGCTTGTAAAAACTCATGACCACACACTCAGGTGATTCGGCATAGTCATCATTCAGCTCACCAATTGTTTAACAGGCGCGAAAGGCAACGATGGAACATGACCTGTTGCGCCTAATGTTAAGTCGAACACCAGTGACGTCAAATCGTCAGCTGATGCATTATACCATATAGCGGGTTGAAAAAGCCCATAACAACTCTTAGCCAGTGACGTTACACACTCAGGAGATCCGACAGAGTCTTCATTCAGCACGCCAATGCTTGTAAAAGACAGGTACGAAAGGTAAAGATGTTACATGGAACGTTGCGCTTGATGTTGAGTGGAATACCAGTGACGTCATATAATCCCACCATGCTTCACGGGATATGATGTTTTGTCACATTTGGCGGCCCACGTGCAACTGTATAAACTCATGACCGGTGACGTCACACACTCAGATGGTTGAGCATCGCCTTGATATAGCACGCAAATGCTTGCAGTAGACAGGTACGAAGGGTAAAGATAGAACATGGCCTGTTACGCATGATGTCTAGTGGAAAAACAGTGACGTCATATGGTCAGCTGATGTGGTATGGCCTATAGTGGGTTCAAAACAGTCTATAAAAATTCATGGCCAGTGACGTTACACACTGAGGTAATTCGGCAGAGCCTTCCTTCAGCATGCCAATCCTTGCAGTGGACAGGTACCAAAGGTAAAGGTGGAGAATGGCTTGTCGCGCCTGAAGTTTATTCGAACACCAGTGACGTCACATCGTCAGTTAATGCCATATGACCTTTCATGGGCCAAAAAGAGGCCGTCCAATCTCATGACCAGTGACGTCACATACAGTCGAATGCCAGTGACCTCACATCGTTAGCTTATGCTTTATGGCCTTCAGTTGGCCCCCAAAATCCATAAAAACTCATGACCAGTGACGCCACACATACATAGGTCATTCGGCAGAGCCTCCCTTCAACACGCCAATACTTGCAGCAGACAGGCACGAAAGGTATAGATGAAGCGTGGCCTGCTGCCTGATGTTCAGCCAAATATCCGTGACGTCATATCGTCAGCTGATGCCCTACGGGATTCGGCCGGTCCAAAGGAGCCCGTGAAAACCCACGACCATTAACGTCACACAGTCAGTCGTATAGCAAAGACGTCATTAGCTGATACCGTGTGGTCTTCAATGGGCCCAAAAACACCGGTGAAACTCATGACCGGTGACGTCACACACTCAGGCGATTTGGTAGCTTTCATTCAGCACGCCAATGCTTGCAGTAGACAGGTGCGAAGGTAAAAATGAAGCATAGCCTGCTGCGACCAATATTTAGTCGAATATCAGTGACGTCACGCTATCCGATGATACTTCACGAAACATGATACACCGTGGCCGTGGGGCCTAAGTGCACTCGTATCAAGTGATAATTAGTGACATTACACTTTCAGGTGATTCGGTCAAACGTATATTGGGCACTAATATGCTTGCAACAGACAGCTACGAAAGGTAAAGATGGAATGAGGCCTGTTGCGCCTGATGTTTAATCGAATACCGTGACGGCATATCGTCAGGTGATGCCCTACGGCATTCATTTGACCCAAAAGAGCCCTAAAACCTCACGACAGTGACGTCACATACCCAGTCGAATACCAGTGACATCATATCGCCAGCAAATGCCTTATGGCCCTCAGTCGGCCCAAAAGAACCCCGATCGATGCAAAACCACTCAGTGACGTCACAATGTCAGCTGACGCCTCAGCATTTCCCCAGTACGACAGTACACGAACCCTGCAGTAAGCGTAGCTCTTCCCTCCGCCGGCCGTACAGGTACCAAAGTAAAAAAGGCTTTTAAGTTAATGGTATGGTTTATCTGATTTTTTTTTCTCATTTGTTGAAGCAGCCTGAAATAACATCTTATTTTGGATGAGTGGAGCTAATGATGTAATGAATTATAGCTTTGGTCATTTGGCTGTCAGAGTTGGGTAATGGCCTTAGTAAATTTAGTTTGTCATTAAAAGTAGCATTTCTAAACTGCTACTTTTTATAACTGTCACAAACTCTTTGTTCTATTGTTTCTCATATGCCAGGAAGAATTCAACAAAGCAGTATTTGTTTTTTGTTGTTGCCCCATCAAATATTAAAATATTCCACCAAGGGTATTGGGTAAGGAGAAAGAAAATAAGGTAAAGTTATTATATGTTCTATTTCATCGACCTGTTTTTTACAGTTAAGTGTGATCTACAAGCCCTCAAATTTTGCCCTTATTTGTGCATCTATGAGCTATGTAGTACATAGCATAGGCTGTGCATAGCCTATGTACAGGCATATATTAACTGGGGAGGTGATAACAGCTCTATATTGCCATTTCAGAAAGCAACCAACAACTTGCATCAGAGAATGCTTAAATGTTCACAGTGATGTGTTTAATGGAAATGCAAACAAATCAGAGATGATTATTAGGAGTCCAATGTTATCAGATGCCTACCACAATAAAAACAAAGCAGCTTTTATACCTGGCAATGACCATTAGCTATAAAAAGGCCACAATCTGAGGGCAGTCCTATGGCATCACAGATCCTAGGCCCTGGGTGGTAGGCTGCTAGTGTGAATGTAGTCAGTGGGTCTGTACTGCTGAGGCATTGAGAGCAGTGCAGTGGTCAGGATCTGTCTTCTGTGCCATTTGCTAGGTATAACCACAGGTTTCATTCCAGCCCAATCTGAGTGTATTTTCTAGATTGGAACAGAGCTGTTGTAACTTAAGTTTTTCTTGTTCACTCTGATATTGTTATTCATGTTATAATCATTTTGAAATGAGGTGCAATGGAATGACAGCAGTAGTGGTCTGCAGTGGCATGTCCTTTACTTTGTTGGTGAGATCAGTAATTATGTTACATACTGCCCTGATCCACAGATTTTCTACAAGCCACAGAAGTGATAGTGCACTTGCGCCAGTAAATTTGTAAGGGCGTCAATCGTTGAACACCAACGCGGAACATTACAGCGGGATTGGAGTGCTTCTGCCCAGAACTGGGCATGGTAAAAGAACCCAGAGGGCACTTGGACCGGCATTGCGCCTATGATCGGGTCCCTGACTGTTGTCCTGTACGTGGTCTCTGGCTGCATTCAGCGCATCATGGGGCAGGCTCTGACCAAGATCAAGCCGCAGTGGTGGCCTTCGGACGGCCAGCCCAAGCCGGCTTCCGACGGGCTAGACGAGTGCGGCGGCAAGATCTTCACCCTGGCCAAATCCGTGCACCACATAGCGCCGTTGGAAAACGAGGAAATTGTGATCAAGGAGAGTGTGGTGACCAGGGCCGTTCCTGTCGCCGCCGCGGTGGGACACAGGGCGGCAGCCTACCCGTCCAACGGCGCCGCTCCTCGTGCGGGCGGTAAGAGACCCCGGGATGAGCCGTCATCATCAGACCAGCATGAGGATACTTCAGAACCGCTGGCGGCGCAGGCTGCCGGGCCCCAGCCGAAGCGGAGACCGGTGCACGGGTTTGAGACCCTGATCAAAAGCAAGGATGTCTACCCTTTCCTGGACGACGATGAGACAGTGGACTACCTGAGGACTTCGAAGGTCCTATTTGTGATGAAGGGACTGCCGGGCAGCGGGAAGTCGCATCTGGCCAAGCGGATTCTCCAGCGGTACCCCGATGCCGTCCTCTGCTCCGCCGACGACTTCTTCATGAAAGATGGGAGGTGGGTTTTGCGAGCTTCAGTAATTCTCTCGGTCCATTTCTTGCCGCATTTACACATGAGATGCGTTGGTGTGCCATAGCAATGCTGCTTGATTTTATGAAAGACATTTCTGTGCACAGTGTTATCTTACTTTTGGTTTTCGAGGTCGTCTTCAGTATTAAACGGTATCGCAGACAACCAATCATATTCATCGGGAAGTTACGAAGGTGACTATTATCACATTGCGACAATGGTAAGGATCCAATTGCCGTTCTTCGCCGCCGTCTAGAGTGCATGGTTGTCTGTTATCATGCACTTCATTGAAAGTCTCCGCCCACACCACGCAACCAGAACACTGTCGGCATCCGCTTATACACATGTACATTGTACGTGCTCGCAAGAGAACTATATGCCATGCACATATCACGTGCTTCCCTTGCCCTGCCATGACTTGGCGACGGCGACTGCATGGCGAACCTCCCCCCCCCCGCCCCGGGCCTTCCGTTACGGGATCCTGTACTCACGCCCAGTCGGGAAGGACCCACAGAAGCCTGGCGCGGCGAGTTCCTCGTCTGGCAACACGCGACAATGTCCTTGGAATTGCGCCGGAGCAGCGCTTGTTTACAGAGCAGAAGTTGCGGTTGGAAACCCCGACAGCCCACCGCCGTAGACCGGAAAGCTGGGTGACTCACCCGGCCGGGGGCGCAACGTTGTGCAGTGTTTCGGTCCCGGCCTCGCTCGCGGCTGATGGGCCGCTGCTGTCGGCCCCTTGTGGTCATCCCTGTGACTAGAAGGCTGACTGGACGCCAGCGAGAAAGCGGTCGCGTGCGCTCAGTACTGCAGTCCTGCCTGCGGAGATACCTCAGGCATGCGACAGCGACCCTCAGCCGCCCCAGCGCCTCGCCTCTTCTCTCCAGAGCCTCGCCAGTTGCCAGGCCGAGGGAAGTTCGGTGCGCATTCAGTATTCACGTGCATGGCCCGGCAGCGGCCGCTGCAGTCTGACGCGGTGTTGTCTGACCTTGACGCGGCTGCTGTTGACGCAGCGCCCCCGGCGGTTGTATATCGTGATAAGCCGCCGTCATGCCCCCCCCCCCCCCCCCCTCCCCCCCCCTCCCCGTCGGCACCGGGCGGACTGCCGCCAGTGGTCGTGCAGCGCTCACGGGGGGCGTACGCGGTGACTGCACCACATGGACGTGGGTCGTTACCGTGGGCGGTAACGGCCTCTGTGCGGAGGGGCGCACGACAACCGGGTGTCCGATTCACCAGGGTCAGGGTGGCTGCGCCTCCGACTTACCCTTGGCACGGTAAGTTGGCTGCGCTCCTAGCTCCCTCGTGTCACAGTAGCCGTTGCGCCGTCTCGCCTGTGTTACGGGCGCTGTACACCCGACTCGCCCCCGTCCGGTACGAGTGCCTCTGTGCCTCTGACTCGCCCTGTCACGACCATTGTATCTCTGACTCGCCCTATCACGGCCATTGTATCTCTGACTCGCCCCTCTCACAGCTATTGTGCCTCTAACTTGCCCATCTCAGATCATTGTGCTTCCGACTAGCCGGTTTCATGTCATTGTGCCTCCTACTCGCTTTGTCTCAGGTCATTTTGCCTCTGACTCGCCGACTGACTCGCGACCGTCGTCTCTCGTCCGCGGTCAATCTGATGTGCCGTGCCGTCGGTGTCTCGGCGCTAAGCCCACGGCCCGCCGTACCCTGTCGTCGGTGTCTCGGCGCTGAGCCCACGGCCCGCCGTACCCTGTCGTCTGTGTCTCGGCGCTGAGCCCACGGCCCGCCGTACCCTGTCGCCCCCGCTCCCGAAGCCGAGCAAAACCGGACGCGGCTGCCCTCCAGCCGGCGCTGCCACAGAACCGGCGGCACAGTCATGTGTGGACTGCATTCTGCAGTGGTGCAACTGTGTAGACTGCATCCTGCAGTGATGCAGCTGCGCTATGCCATGTGCGGCCGTGCCTTGTGTGCTTGACACAGCCGAACTGGGCCGGCTCGGCGGCGCAGTCTGGCCGCTGAGTCCTATAGGGGGTGGCTTTGTTCGCGGCCGACGGTCGCCAGCTGCGCGGACACGGCGGCACGGTGTTTACTCTGGGGCCTCATGGCACCATAGGCTAGTGGAGAGCGCGGGTTTGGCCCGCACAAACCGTGACGTCGCGGTCGGGTCGGAGAATCGCGAGCCCGCTCAGCAGCGGCGTCTCAGGGGCCTGCAGATCCAGGCACTCTGTGTTGAGGAAGGAGCCCGCGATCTTGGTGGAAGACGGCGGTGCACTCACGCCTCGGCGGCTGACCCCCGTTGCGTGGTGACCCCGGCCTGAGCTGTGGCCACCAGTCGGATGTTATGTTACGTTGGCTTCTGGGCCGCCCATCCAGTGTCACTCTCGGAGCGCAGCATTGGCACCATTATCATGTCGGCGTTGTCATTGGATCCTTGCGGTGCACCCGGCTGGCGATGTAAGGCGTGGCATGCCCCTCACCGGGACAGGAAGGACGGGTGCCGCGCACTAGTGTCATGTAACGTAGTGACCAGGCTCGTGCTACAAGCCGTGTGGACCAGGCCTGAAGCCCCCCCCCCCCCCCGCCCATAGGACGTTTGGCCGCCGGTCCTGTCCCCCTCGCCTCGGGCCAGATCCGGCGCTGCTGTCGAGCGTGACAGCCTTTCCGTCACATCTGACCGACTCGCCCACGCTTTTGACCACATCTTCCGTGCACGTGATCACCTGCGCCTCCTACCTAGGTCCTCGTTTCTCTGCCCACTTCTGCCGTGCCTGGCCTGCGTCTGACCCCCCCCCCCCCCCCCTCCTCTCCCCGTCACAGGTACGAGTTCGAGCGGGACCAGCTGCCGGCGGCGCACGAAGCGTGCCAGCGGCGCGCCGAGCGGGCCTGCTGCGAGCAACGCGCCCACTTGGTGGTCGACAACACGAACGTGCGCGACTGGGAGTGGCGGCCGTACGCGCGCCTCGCGCTGCGTCACCAGTACGTGCTGCTGCTGGTGGAGCCCGACACGCCGTGGCGCCGCGACCCGGCCCGGCTCGTCCAGATGAACAGCCACGCCGTGCCTGAAGAGGACATCCGGTAGGGGGCCGGCCGCGGCGGGAGGCGCCTCGCCGAGCGGGCATGGGGACGTCAGCCGTACAATGGGAGGCGAGGGTGCACTGGCCAATGTGAAGAAGTAGGGCGGCGCTTCTGTTGAGGCTGTGAGAGGCCGCAGTTTACCAAGGAAGAAAAACAATCGGGCTTAATTTTTTTGACAGAGTAATGACTGTTGGGAACCCGGAGCGTCCCAGTGATCAGGGAAAAGTACACACGGAATGACGGAGGGGGAAGGGTGCTGTTAAGGAAAGTTGATCATCACCAATGTTTTTGGAAAACGCTTTGCCCAGGGATTGTACTGGCACGTGTCAGTGCTGAAATACCGTTTGTGAACGCGTGGTGTGCCGTGCGAAATCGCGGTGACTTGGCACGTGCACGGCACGTTGTGTTGGGTGTAGGCGGCATCGTGATCCACTCTGTTGCTTTTTCACAAAATGCTCCGTTGTGTCGGCGAACCTGTCTACTTCTGTACTCTAATACAGTTATCTTTTCTACTTTTTTCACTCAGGCGGAAGTTGAAGTCGCTGCAGATCTCCATACCTCTCTACTACGGCTGGATTTTGAACGCGGCAGACTGCCAAGCACTGCTGGACCGGGCCCGGCTGATCCTGGAAAAGGTGTTCCGAGCCAGCAAGGCGTTCGCCGATGACTTCCGTGCCATCACTGGCAGCTCACGTATCTCAGGTGCGAGACACTTCATATTGATAGCCGGCCCGGCGCGGCGTGTGGCTCATAACACGACGGAACGAACGGCACCGGCCCGCGTCTTCTGTCTGTTCGAGCGTGTGGTGCGTCATGGCAGACGCAGTCCAAAGGGTTCAGCGTGATGTCACGTGGTATGTTGTACCTGTAGCTCTCGTGTCTAAACACTCGCGCATGCGCGGTATCTAGCGTTGAGTAGTCACTGCTGTATTCCACGACCTCGTTAGCTGGGACCTGCATACGCCTTTTATCTACCTGAGTTATGGATCACAGTCTGGAGTATGGAGCACGCTTTTTTGTGCACAAGTCGTATTTTATCTGCATGCTGAGCCCATCGCCCTGGTCATGGCTGTCCTCCGCGTCCGGCGCGTGCGCACCGGTTGTTAACCGCGGCGCCGCCCCCTCAGACCTGTCGGCACTGTACCCGGCGCCGCCCGAGCTGCTGCACTGCACAGCGCGCTTCTGCGGCCGCGGGCGGGCGGCCGGCGCGCGCGGCTACGCCGAACGGGTGGACGTGCGCCGCGCCGTCGGACACCGCTCGGTGGCGCGCGTCACCGGTCTGCTGTTGACGCCGCGCACGCTCGGCGCGCGGCTCACGCTGGACGAGGCGCAGCTGGCGCTCTGGCAGCAGGACGACTGGAGGCCGACCCCCGGCGCCGGCGCCGGCGGCCGGCCGGGGCGGCGCGCGCCGGCCGGCCGACTGGCGCCCGGGGGCCACGCAGCCGTCGCTGGCCGTGGCCGGGACCAAGCGGCGGCCGCGGACGGGCGCCGGCCGGCGCGCGCACATCACACTCGGCTGCCGGCCCGGCCAGTCGGCCGTCGTCACGGGGAACGACCTGATGGCGGCGCTGGACGTGCTCGAGGCGCGGCCCGAGCTGCTGCGCCGGCCGCTGGCGAAAGTGGAGCGCGCCACGCTCCACCGTGTGGACGAGCAGGTGTGGTACCTGGACCTGGAGCGGGACATCGTGGTGGATGTCGTGTTCGGCGCCAGGTACTGATGCCTCCCCCGGCGAGCGGGGCTCGGTCGGAGGCCCGGCTTCGACCGGGGATGACCGATGATTGTGATTCGGTCGTTGGTCGTTGATGAACTGACGCTTGCGACACAGTGGATAGGCTGTTCGTGACGGGGATGTGCCGTGGTGGGCGAACGATGCGCTCTTGCAATGCGGCCAATTTGCTCATCACGGTTTTCGCTCGCCTCCATGGACCAGGATTTGCACAGCACACCGTGCCTTGTCGGCCGTGTTATCATAACTGGCGTGTCCAAGGTATGGTTGGCCGCAGGATTTGCGTTGCTTGTTACATGCTAAACATTAATGCGGCGTGTGAAATTAGGTTCTTGTGTTAGTTTTTCCTGCAAGACCGCGGGACTTGCTCGTTTTTCTATATTTTATTGTTTCCATGAAGCAAAGGAAGTTTTTGTCTTCCTCAGTTCAAATGGCGTTACTAACGGCAGCACGATGTCACTTGCCGTGATTGTATGCTGTCATCGTGACCATAAAACAGCGGAATGGTTCTTGGACTGCACGTGATTACTGTTGTTTTCGCTGTGCCTGTAGTGGCATTTGTGGAGTCACCGTAGCTTGCTCAAGAGCACAGTCTCATTCGTTGATTCGCCGAATACGATCTCATTCTTTGCATCGGGGGGACACACTTCGTTTCAAATTTCGCTATTTGTGTTCGTGCAGATTTAGTTCAATACACGTAATACCATATTTTGCCGATTTCCCACGCAGACATAGACATCATAGCGATCGACAACGAGGCAATGACAACATCACAATCGATAAGTTTGTCTTTGACCTCACGTCCAACGTAGTATGACCGCCAAACAACTATCGAATCGGACCTTACATTAGGTTCCCGCAGCGCTCGGTCACCATATTGCGAGTGTTCTGCGCCGCAGTAGCCGCAGGTAGCCATGCTACCAGCCGCGCTGCCAACGCTACCCATAGCAGGTGAGACTGTTCCGGCTGCGGCTTCGCTCCGGCCATGCCCGTGGCCTCATTGATTCACCCCGTTTTCCCACGGTTTGCGTCCACGCCGCTCGATAGCTAGGAGACCGGCCGGTACGTGTCACAGAGCGGCCGCGGCTGGCCGGTCGCCATGAGGTGGACGATGCTGCTGAAGCTGGCCGTCTGCCTGCTGCTCGGCGCCGCACTTGGGACGCTCCTCAGCCCGCTGATGCCGTCTCCGGTCACCGGTGAGCCGCGCGGGGGGTCGGCCGCGCACCGCCACCGGCGCTCGCTGGGTGGCGTCTCCCGGCCGGTCTGTGTTGTCGCTGCGGTACGAGGGAGAGGCCGCCGCTGCTGCTCGCTGGGCGGCGTCCCCCGGCCGGTCTGTGTTGTCGCTGCGGTGGGAGGGAGAGGCGGCCGCCGCTGCTCGCTGGGTGGGGTCCCCCGGCCGGTCTGTGTTGTCGCTGCGGTGGGAGGGAGAGGCGGCTGCCGCTGCTCGCTGGGTGGGGTCCCCTGGCCGGTCTGTGTTGTCGCTGCGGTGGGAGGGAGAGGCGGCTGCCGCTGCTCGCTGGGTGGGGTCCCCCGGCCGGTCTGTGTTGTCGCTGCGGTGGGAGGGAGAGGCGGCTGCCGCTGCTCGCTGGGTGGGGTCCCCCGGCCGGTCTGTGTTGTCGCTGCGGTGGGAGGGAGAGGCGGCTGCCGCTGCTCGCTGGGTGGGGTCTCCTGGCCGGTCTGTGTTGTCGCTGCGGTGGGAGGGAGAGGCGGCTGCCGCTGCTCGCTGGGTGGGGTCCCCCGGCCGGTCTGTGTTGTTGCTGCGGTGGGAGGGAGAGGCGGCTGCCGCTGCTCGCTGGGTGGGGTCCCCCGGCCGGTCTGTGTTGTTGCTGCGGTGGGAGGGAGAGGCGGCCGCCGCTGCTCGCTGGGTGGGGTCCCCCGGCCGGTCTGTGTTGTTGCTGCGGTGGGAGGGAGAGGCGGCCGCCGCTGCTCGCTGGGTGGGGTCCCCCGGCCGGTCTGTGTTGTTGCTGCGGTGGGAGGGAGAGGCGGCTGCCGCTGCTCGCTGGGTGGGGTCCCCCGGCCGGTCTGTGTTGTTGCTGCGGTGGGAGGGAGAGGCGGCTGCCGCTGCTCGCTGGGTGGGGTCCCCCGGCCGGTCTGTGTTGTTGCTGCGGTGGGAGGGGGGGATGGATGTCATGTGAGCGCAGTCGTAACCCGTCCTGACGGGGATTTTCTAAGGTGGTGCTGGCGGTGTTCAGCTATGATCATCCGGGACGGAAACTGGGGCGAACAAGCGTTGACTGCATCACATAGTCTGTCATGGCGTTGGTGGGTCATATGTGACATGCATACCTTTGTGAATTTATTTTTCGGTAATTCACATGAGCCCTGCGAGCGTGCGTTCGGGGAAGCGCATTAGCTTCGCCCTCGGTGCCGTGTCTTCTTCACGCTGGGCCTGCCTGACAGACGTGCATTCGGATGTGCGGCGCACCCCGCTGTTCTCCGCGGGCGCCCTACACCAGCACGCCCTCTGCGGGGAGAGTGTGGAACTGCGCCGACTGCTCACCGACCAGCTGGCGCAGATCAAGACCGAGGTCATCGCAGCCATGGGTGAGCTGTCACCGCCGTGTTCATGCTTACGGCAGCCATTCCGGCTGTCGTAAGAATATGCACTTGGTAGTGAGCGTTTTGGTACGGTCCATGATTAATAGACCAACCTCTATAAACACGCACGGTGCGACGGCGAGCCACTATCTTGTTATTTCAAAACGCTAATAGTCGCTTATCAAGCGTGTGTTAACTTTCTACACACTTCTCCATCACTGCCTTGTTTGCGCTCTTGTACAGGTGGCAACCGCATGCATCGATATTCCGTACACCACACGGCGGGCGTGAAAGGAGTAGTTGCCGCACGATGCGTTTATTCCGCCAATTCCAGTTCCCGCCCAGCTTGGCCATCATGATCAACAGCACCTTCATCGATCCCCTGACTCGTGACATTCGCGGTGGCGACCGCCTAACCGTGGCCTGCCGCGACGGCTACCCCTCACCTGTGGGCCTGTCGTGATGGCGACCCCCTAACCGTGGCCTGCCGCGACGGCTACCCCTCACCTGTGGGCCTGTCGCCGCGGCGGCCTCTTCCACAGAGAGCAATCGGCCCACCGACTACCAGGTGGTGGTGCAGCTGACGCGGCTGATGCACCGGCTGGACGCGAGGGCGGCGCTGGCGCAGCTCAACCCAGACGAGCTGGGCAAGACGTTCCGCGGCAGGGATGACAGCGAGCTGAAGCTCGATGGGGACCCCGACCAGAACGGGTACAATCCGCGCTCCGAGAGCCAGCAGGAGGTGTGTCCCGAGCTGTACCACGGCGCTGTAGACGACGCACCTCTGCACAGGAACGGTTTCGTCACTGAGAACTGCAAGGTGAGAGTGGTTAGCGGCTTGCTTGGTTTTGCTTGCTCCGGCTGGCGCCGGAGGGGGGGGGGGGCGTGGGTGTTCGGAGTGGGAGGATGGGTGAAGTCAGCTCTGGTAGTGGACTGGAGGCATACTCTAACAGCGGACGCCACATGGCCGCCGTTGGATGAGAACTGCATGATGTTTGCCCCTAAGGTATGCCTGTGGCGTCAGCTAACAACAAGCAAGTCATTGTCGGGTCTGGTGAAACGTACTTTTTGCCTTAAAATGGATCATGGGTGGAGGATGATCGGGAATGCCTGATTGTGATGGAATAAAGGTCCACGTTACGTTGAAGGTGAAAGAAAAGGGGGGCATGAAGCTACAGCCTAGTACGCAATACAAGCTGGTTAGCTAGCTAGAGATCCTCAGCGATTCGGATTCGTTTCTTAAGAGAAACATGACTGGAGATGTGATGAGCTCCGCATGTGTTTTGCGCTGACCTGAACACTATTGTTTGGGTCGCGCCTTCGCCGCCCCACGACCAAACCACACCCATTGTTGTTTGCAGGACGCCCAGCCTCTCGAGAGCACCGTCACGATCCTCCTGCCCGTCACATGGCGCTCGCTGCCGACGGACGTGGAGCGCGTGCTCAGGCAGCTGCACCAACAGCACCCGGAGCTACCTGTGGTCCTGACCTCGTCCGACCGCGCTCTCAGCCGGCTGACAGCGCTCCACTCGGCGCTGACGGTGCTGCACGTGCCGGGCGAGGGCCGCCGTGTCAGCGTCGGTGCGCTCGTGAACCGCGCCGCGCGCGCCGCCACCAGCCCGTACGTGTTCGTGGCGCGCGAGCTGACGCACGTCACGGAAGACCTGGACCTGGCGCGCCACGTGCGCGTACTCGGTCAGCTCCCGATGGTGGACGTGGTGGGCGGCGCGGCGCGCAACCGCTCTGGCCACTGGCGTCACGGCTGCTTCCAGGCGGAGGTGGCGCGCCACGCGCTCGCCTACCGCGCCGGCTACCAACACTCGGCGGTCGAGTGCATGCTCTGCGACCACGTGGGGGGCGCGTTCGCGGCACGCGCCGAGACACTGCGCCGCCTGACGCTGGACACCGAGCTGCCGGCCGAGGTGGTGTTCCACGACTGGTTCCTACGGCTACGGCGCGGCGCGCGGCTCGCCGCCGTCTGCCCCGACCTTATGCACTACTCGACCGGCAGCGAGCGCTCGGACGAGGGGAGCGCCGCCGCCTGGCGCCAGCTGGCGGCCAAGTGGCAGCTTGTGTCTCTCGCGCTGCCCGCTGGGCGGCGCTACGACTTCCGCTGCCGCGACGTCGGGATCCAGTGTAACCCGGTAAAGACGGCGCGCCACTATAGCCAGCCGCCGTGCTGCCTGGCGCAGCTGGAGCACGGCCTGCGCCTGTTGGAGAAGATGCTGACCGACGGACGCGTGCAGCACGAGCTGGAGTCTGGCGCGCTGCTCGCCGCCGTCAAGCTCGCCGCCCCACTGCCCTGGGGTGTGAACGCGCACATCGCTGTCAATGTCAACGACTTCTGGTACGTCAGCGACCGGCTGGGCGAACTGCGCCGACACGGCCTCGTGGTGGAGGAGGTGCCGGTGCCGGGCGCGCCGGCGGCGGCCAACGCCAGCAGCGCTGCTGGC